TCTGCGGAGGGAGTTTACGCAAATATCAGAGAGGTTTTAAGGAACTAGGGCCAGGTCATAATGAGTCAAAAGTAGTTGATATCTGAGTCAAAACCTCAGACTACGTTCAGGGACGTTTCAACATCTTCTTCCAACGTTCTCGCTTTATACAAAAGGTGGAAAAGCAACTATGATATGGTGAAGCTTTGGGAAAGTTAGTGGTCGAGTCCAATAAACTACAGTTAGAGTTAGGCGATTATAACAACTTGGTTTGGGGAACTTTGTGGTTTCGTTTACAGAAGTTTAAAGGAACTCATGACGACGTTCTCACACCAAGGGTTGGTTAAAGGTTTAGCGAATAAAACTCTTAATGTTCGAGGACAATTGTGGTTAATGAAATTGAACCTGACCTTAACCTTTACACTCACTGCTTATAATAAACTACTTTCTCAATGGGCACCGAATGTTGGACGTAACTCAGAAGGTGCTTTAGCCTTCAAAGACAACTTTCTAAAGGAATCTACAACTTTCTAGGGTACGAAGTGTTCAGCAAATGGTTTCTAAAGGAATCTACTATCTTCCCAGTAAATGGCGTGTTGGATGTTGATGTCTTTGGTCCAGAGTCCTTGTCGTTCAGCCAACGTACCGCTCTTTATAACTGATGCTTCGGATGTCACGCATGAATGTCCTGTCTTAGGGAAGTCGCTCCTAGAGATCCTAACTTGACGAGTTGTCAAAGGTCCAGAAAACTAAGACAACTCCATGTGAAGGGATCAGACTTATTGGACCGTGAACAAAGACTATTTTGAAGCCCCTTTTTAATATGCAACTGGTTATAAACTTTCCCATCATCCTTAACATTATGGTCTTTCAACTTCTCATCCATTACAGTCCTTCACCAAATTGAAATAATCCAGGTAGCCAGAACTCATCGTAAACCAATGGAGATATTGGACAACATTTGTTTTCAGGGAACTGCACTAAGTTGTGTAATCCCTTGAGGTATAAATATACTAAGATAAAACCTGTAGTGATGGGGATTCTGTAGAAATCCACGAATAAAATGGTCGTCTTTCGAATTCTAGGCTAAATCTGGACGAACCTTTGAAATAGGACATGATGTATTGACCCACATTGACATAGTTGGTCTCAAATTGCTCCCAGTTGGGACTAACTTTAACCCAAAAGCTATGTCATGGTGCAGAAAGGTGACAATTTAAACGAAAATCAAGACTTTGAGAAGATGTCGTGTTACTCTTTAAAGAAACAAACGGGAGTTCGAGGTTTGGTATTTGATTTTAGACTGTAAGACAATGGCTTCTACTGACAATAAACTAAAGAACCAACAACCACATGTACTGATCTGTTTCCAAAACAGACTTTTGTTTTTATTCAAAATGTCTACATTGAACATATTTCGTGGAATCTCAAAAGTGAGACGGCTGCTTTTTGTAGGATTGGGTCTTTGGGTGTATTTTAACATTCATTTTTATATTATTTACGAGGCTAGCTGAGAAATATATCATTGCAAGGAAGATAAATGAATCTAATACAGCATATATATATATATATAAATAATAAATGGAAGAATATTTTTTTTGCTTGGACCATAATGACCTGAATGTATGTGTGATGACTTCAAGCACAAATAATAATTGTTATTTTATGTAGAAATGTTAAGCAAGTACTTTCATTTTTAATGATCCCTAACATTTCATTAGTGTTTTTAAATTGGCAGAAATGGGCTTCCATAGTTCCTGGTTTCCCCTGAAGCAACAACACTAAACGCTGACCCTGAAAACCTTCATTAAGTAGTTTTCTTTTGGATTTATCCGTACAAAAACAGGCCACCACAGCAAGACTAAATCCTATCTGCACCCCCACGTCCAAGGCTTTAATGGTCTAAAATATTACACAATGTACAGATCAGATAATCTCCGTGAGCAGGCCATGGCTTCTGACACTCCTGTGCAGAACTTTTGTATAAATATTGTAATTTACACAATATTTTAAGGGTTAAGGAACATGCACTCGATGTGGTTTTTTAAATACCAAAGTGAAGGACTCTGGGAAATGAAGTTTAGTTTATCTTACAAATATAACACTTTTTTTTTTTAATATCAGATATTCCAAATTTGTGTCTAAAAAAATCCATTATAATGTTGTTGTTTAAACCTGAGATTCGAATTTCCATTTCTTCTATAAAAGACTTTGTTGGAGTTCTACTTCCTGTGGCCTCGCTTCTCAGATCCGTCGTGAACAAACCCCCGGAGAGGACAGACAACAAAAACACCCCAAAATACAAACACTTCTGCAGATCTGATGCACATCACGTAAAGTCTGGAAAAGTAAACACTACAAACACTAGAACTGAAACGCTGACTTTAAATAAGTGTATCATGTCAACTGATTCACATAACTGCGTTGGGTTAGGTGAAAGTATCGGAGGAATTTATCATTTAATTCACAGATTAAACGCATCAGTACGGCTGTCATTCATCACACCACAAAGACTGGCCACCTTCTGCTCTCAGTATCAAACGGATGCTACCTGTTATAATTAGCATGTCTTATGTCCCTTTTGTTTCCTGCTCCTCCGTATAAAGTCACCGCTTTTCTGTCTAACTCGGTCAGATCTTGGTGCTATCTACTCGAGCAGGACTCTGGCCTTTTGGCTGGAAGTAAGATTGATTCTGTTAAAGGTCACCTATTATGCAAAATCCACTTGTTCATGTCTCTTCTACATCAACATGTGTCCCCTCTTCTTCATGTCTCTTCTACATCAACATGTGTCCCCTTTTCTTCATGTCTCTTCTACATCAACATGTGTCCCCTCTTCTTCATGTCTCTTCTACATCAACATGTGTCCTCTCTTCTTCGTGTCTCTTCTACATCAACATGTGTCCCCTCTTCTCCGTGTCTCTTCTACATCAACATGTGTTCCCTCTTCTCCGTGTCTCTTCTACATCAACATGTGTTCCCTCTTCTTCATGTCTCTTCTACATCAACATGTGTCCCCTCTTCTTCATGTCTCTTCTACATCAAGATGTGTCCCCTCTTCTTCATGTCTCTTCTACATCAACATGTGTCCCCTCTTCTTCATGTCTCTTCTACATCAACATGTGTCCCCTCTTCTTCATGTCTCTTCTACATCAACATGTGTCCCCTCTTCTTCATGTCTCTTCTACATCAACATGTGTCCTCTCTTCTTCATGTCTCTTCTACATCAACATGTGTCCCCTCTTCTTCATGTCTCTTCTACATCAACATGTGTCCCCTCTTCTTCATGTCTCTTCCACATCAACATGTGTCCCCTCTTCTTCATGTCTCTTCTACATCAACATGTGTCCCCTCTTCTTCATGTCTCTTCTACATCAACATGTGTCCCCTCTTCTTCATGTCTCTTCTACATCAACATGTGTCCCCTCTTCTTCATGTCTCTTCTACATCAACATGTGTCCCCTCTTCTTCATGTCTCTTCTACATCAACATGTGTCCCCTCTTCTTCATGTCTCTTCTACATCAACATGTGTCCCCTCTTCTTCATGTCTCTTCTCCATCAACATGTGTCCCCTCTTCTTCATGTCTCTTCTACATCAACATGTGTCCTCTCTTCTTCATGTCTCTTCTACATCAACATGTGTCCCCTCTTCTTCATGTCTCTTCTACATCAACATGTGTCCCCTCTTCTTCATGTCTCTTCTACATCAACATGTGTCCCCTCTTCCTCATGTCTCTTCTACATCAACATGTGTCCCCTCTTCTTCATGTCTCTTCTACATCAACATGTGTCCTCTCTTCTTCATGTCTCTTCCACATCAACATGTGTCCCCTCTTCTTCATGTCTCTTCTACATCAACATGTGTCCCCTCTTCTTCATGTCTCTTCTACATCAACATGTGTCCCCTCTTCTTCATGTCTCTTCTCCATCAACATGTGTCCCCTCTTCTTCATGTCTCTTCTACATCAACATGTGCTCCCCTCTTCTTCATGTCTCTTCTACTTCAACATGTGTCCCCTCTTCTTCATGTCTCTTCTACATCAACATGTGTCCCCTCTTCTTCATGTCTCTTCTACATCAACATGTGTCCCCTCTTCTTCATGTCTCTTCTACATCAACATGTGTCCCCTCTTCTTCATGTCTCTTCTCCATCAACATGTGTCCCCTCTTCTTCATGTCTCTTCTACATCAACATGTGTCCTCTCTTCTTCATGTCTCTTCTACATCAACATGTGTCCCCTCTTCTTCATGTCTCTTCTACATCAACATGTGTCCCCTCTTCTTCATGTCTCTTCTACATCAACATGTGTCCCCTCTTCTTCATGTCTCTTCTACATCAACATGTGTCCCCTCTTCTTCATGTCTCTTCTACATCAACATGTGTCCCCTCTTCCTCATGTCTCTTCTACATCAACATGTGTCCCCTCTTCTTCATGTCTCTTCTACATCAACATGTGTCCCCTCTTCTTCATGTCTCTTCTCCATCAACATGTGTCCCCTCTTCTTCATGTCTCTTCTACATCAACATGTGTCCCCTCTTCTTCATGTCTCTTCTACATCAACATGTGTCCCCTCTTCTTCACGTCTCTTCTACATCAACATGTGTCCCCTCTTCTTCATGTCTCTTCTACATCAACATGTGTCCCCTCTTCTTCATGTCTCTTCTACATCAACATGTGTCCCCTCTGTGGAAAGAGACTCTGAAAGTTTCAGGAACAAAGTTTCTCTCTCTTTTTGATCCATTTCTATAAAAACCTGTCTGAAAATGAGCTGATCAGATCACTTGATGATGTCATAACGATGTTTTGTCTTGTGTAACCATTAGCCAATCAGCAACCAAGGTAACCCCCCCCCCCCCTTATCACCTGAATCTCCTCCTAGAGCACCATTGTGTTCTTTGTACCCAAATGTCTCTCAGAGGGGCGTGGGGAGGGGCTCCTTATTTTCATCTAAAGTAACAGACAGAGAATCAGCACTTTGGAAACAGGGCTGAAACAGAGGGGATTATGGGTAATGCTGCAATGATCTGTTTGGTGTTCCAGCCAATCAGAGACAGGCTCTGGATATATCTGAGAGCTATAATAAAGTAATGAAACAGTATAATAGGGGACCTTTAAATGCTATAACTCTTTATTAAATAACACAACTTTGGTTTAAGCTTGTATATTTGTTCTTTTCTTTCCAGAAGGTGAGAGTGGCATTTCCACCTCAGAAAGCAATAATATTAAGTATTTAAAGAGGTTCATAGTATTGCTTTCAACTAACCGAATACAGTTTTGTGCACTTTGTCAGTTTTTTCAAGTGTGCACACTATCTTCAAAACATGTTAACAAATAATCATGCAATTACGTATCGGCCACTACGTTTTGTTTTGCACTAATAAATACTGCTTTTCACTGTAAAGTATTTTGTATTAATTATGTGACCGTCTATGTTTCTTGTAGGTATTTAATTGCTCTTCTTACTGCACTGTTAGTGTACAGTTTTATTATGATGCTGCTGTGTTTATTGTGTTTTTGTAACTCTGGCACAACCATTTCCTTCGGGATGAATAAAGTCTTATCTAAAATAATCCTAATGCAAAGTGGTGGGGACAAAACTGGCCATTTCCAGAAGTGATGGAGACCAACTGTCCCCAGTCTAAAAGACACCTATGATTATGTGAAATGTGTTGACATAACACACTTAATAAGAGTCAACGGTTCAGTGTTTCTCCGTGCACGAGGGTCGTCTTACAGCAGGTTTATTTAGTTTGAAACTTCTCAGACGACGCGCTGACGTCGTCCGCCAATACACTTAATGAAAAAGTCAACGTTTCAGTGTTTTCTGCACGTGGATCCTCTTACAGCAGGTTTATTTAGTTTGAAACTGGCAATTTCCAGAAGTTGTGGAGACCCACTGTCCCCAGTATAAATGACGCCTATTGTTATGTGACATTCGTTGACACAATACACTTAATAAAAGTCAACGGTTCAGGTTCTTTCCCCGTGCACGTGGGTCCTCTTACAGCAGGTTTATTTAGTTTGAAACCTCTCAGACGACCGTGCTGATGTCGTCCACCTCGTCCGGTTTCTTGGGTTTACTGGGCAGCGACTTGAGATATTCCAGGTGTCGTCGAGCGTCCTCTTGGTTCTGTCGCACGTAGTAAACCACGTAGGAAATGACCATGGCGAACCACCCGAACATGGTCACCAACATGGCGTAGTCTGTGGTCCTTTTGGCGAGGTTACACAGGTCCGTGTCCACCGCTAAGAAAGGCTGTCCCTCCTGGTCTCTGATCTCTGAGCTCCGGCAGAGAACTCGCGCTGCCGCCTCGTGGTTATGAGCCATTCCTCCGATAGCTTGTTGCAGAGCGCAGTCACAATGCCACGGGTTATCGTCCACGATGACGCGAGCCTTCAGACGGGCGAAGGCGTCTTTGTGCACGCTAGTGATGCGGTTGTGGGACAAATCGAGAACCTGAAGCGTTCCCTCGATGCCGCTGAACGCTCCTTCGCCTAAAGTCTCCACAGCGTTGTAGGATAAGTTTAATTCCCTCAGGAGACGCAGGCCGTGGAAAGCTTGATCCGGAACGGCGCCAATCTGATTGTGGTCCAGTCTGAGCAGAACCTGAGGAGGAAGAGAGGATGAGAAGTAAAGTCAACAAGGACATGTGGACATTATCAAACTCTGGTGTAAAGTAACTAAGTACATGTGGACATTATCAAACTCTGGTGGGAAGTAACTAAGTACATGTGGACATTATTAAACTCTGGTGGGAAGTAACTAAGTACATGTGGACATTATCAAACTCTGGTGTAAAGTAACTAAGTACATGTGGACATTATTAAACTCTGGTGGGAAGTAACTAAGTACATGTGGACATTATTAAACTCTGGTGGGAAGTAACGAAGTACATGTGGACATTATCAAACTCTGGTGGGAAGTAACTAAGTACATGTGGACATTATTCAACTCTGGTGGGAAGTAACGAAGTACATGTGGACATTATTAAACTCTGGTGGGAAGTAACTAAGTACATGTGGACATTATTAAACTCTGGTGGGAAGTAACTAAGTTAATTTTCCACTACATTTATTAAACAGCTTTAGTTACTTTTAACAAAATGCATCTCTAAAAATGTAACTAGTGGACTAACTCTTTAAGTCACAAAAGACTCATTATTTACAAATTTTACAAAAAGTCAGTCAGATCTTCCTGTGAGAGACTGAATCCTCCTGAATATCTGGCGTCCCGTTGACCTGTTGAGGAAAGTACAATAGATATACATCTCACGGTGTCTGAGGGCAGGCCGGGGGGGATTACGAGGTACTGTACTTGAGTATTTCTATTTAATGCGACTTCTACTCGTTGACCTGTTTTTTGTTGTTGTACCGTTTCTGATTTTATGTAAAGCGTCTTTGAGCACTAGGAAAAGCGCTATGAAAATCGAATGTATTATTAGTTAGTGTGAATGCTAAATGTTATTCTACGGACGAAAAGTTTATTATTATTCCGCCGGTATTTTGGCCCTCTTCTTCTCCCGCAGTGAACATCGCAGAAACTCCGTTCAAACATCAAAACGTTCAGCTCGGTCGGGAATCGATGGCTATAACTTTTATCATTCATAACTTTCATAATTCCAGAGATACATCCCATAATACATCACATTTTCAACATTGAAGTCAATGGAGGAAATCTTCAGACTTCAACAAATCTTCATGTGACTTCAACTGCTAACTGTTCATTCATACTTTCACTCAGAAACCTCATTCCAACTTTAAAATGTTACAAATCTTTCTGACATTATTCGTGTGAAACAATTTTTAAATCTGATTCTTACTTTTAGAGATATTAACATTTGTTCAGACCTTGTTTTCGAGGTTTTCTTCACATGTTAACATTAACTAGAGTGCGTGATGTCACAGCTAGAGGGTGAGAAATCTTGAAATTTGCCTTCATATATATTTTTTAAAACTGCCATAATTCCCAAACCCTACATTCCTGAGACATAATTTATCATGACAAACGTAGGAAAACATCTCGTAGCTTGAAAAATGACAAATAATTAAGCAAAAAATAATTCAACAAAATGCCTCTTGAGGGCATGAAGTGACAAAAACGTTCAACATTCCTCCATTGAAGCCCATTGTAATTTCAGGCAGATATTTCCTCACAGCAGCAGCCGCACACCTTTAGTTAAACTGCCAAAAAGGCCATATTATTAACCCAAAAGTACACAAACATTACACTTCAGATACTCAACTTCCTTGACATGCTTCACGTTTTGAAATGTCACAGATATCTGTTACGGTTCTTCCACAAAACGTTCACATGTAAGAGGTTCATCTCTCATTCAGAACAATGGAAACCTGTGATCTCTACAGAGCTCGTTAGTTCAACTATAAACACCTGTGTAATGGAACACGATGCTGACGTGCTCAGAGCAGCAGACTTCAGGTAGCAGTGTGCTAACAGTCCAGCTGTGAAGACATCTACGGGACAGTTTGGAGAGTTCTTAAAATGCCGTTGCCATGGCAACACAATGCTCGCCTTGAAACACGGTTTTCTCATAGCTTCAGTGAAAATACTCCAAACAGCCCAGAACTTCACAGGTTTGATAACGATGCAGCCATCAACGCATCTAAGGGTATTATGGGGTGTCATGAAATGCCGTTGCCATGGCGACAGACCACTCGCCATGAAATACGATGAGGCTGTAAGTCCAATGGACACGGTCCAATCGTCCCCCAATCTTCACTTGTATATCACCGGTCCATGCCTCAACAGCTCTACGCCAACTCTGAGATCTCACCATATGCCGTTTCCATGGAAACGCATCCCTCGCCATACAACATGATGTCGCTATAACTCCAATGAAAATGTTCAAAAAGTGCTCAAACTTCACATGTGTGCTAACAGCCCAGCCGTGAAGACATCTACGGGACAGTTTTGAGATTTCTTCAAATGCCGTTGCCATGGCAACACAATGCTCGCCATGAAACACTGCTTTCTCATAACTTCAGTGAAAATGCTCCAAACGCCCCAAAACTTCACAGGTTTGTTAACGATGCAGCCATCAACTCATCTAAGCGTATTATGGGGTGTCATCAAATGCCGTTGCCATGGCGACAGATCATTCGCCATCAAGTTAGTTCAGAAGTTTGCAGTTCAAATATTCTGCTGCTTTTCCAAGCCTTTTTACTTTCTTTTCTTCTCTCATCACACATTCAAGCCCCCAGTGTTCATGTATCATTTCAATCTAAATTCTTCACTTTCTTCTTACACATTACATTTCAGCATAGAAGTTTAGCGTCAGCTTTTCAGCATAAAGCATTCCCACTAGCAATTTCTTCAGGAATTGCATTCTCTAGTTATTAAATAGTCTATCTCACCGTGTCTGAGGGCAGGCCGGGGGAGGGATCTCTTTGAGGTATATATTATATATATTATTATTAAAAGGTCTCTATATCACCGTGTCTGAGGGCAGGCTGGGGGGGATCTCTTTGAGGTATATATTATATATATTATTATTAAAAGGTCTCTATATCACCGTGTCTGAGGGCAGGCTGGGGGGGATCTCTTTGAGGTATATATTATATATATTATTATTAAAAGGTCTCTATATCACCGTGTCTGAGGGCAGGCTGGGGGGGGATCTCTTTGAGGTATATATTATATATATTATTATTAAAAGGTCTCTATATCACCGTGTCTGAGGGCAGGCTGGGGGGGGGGGGATCTCTTTGAGGTATATATTATATATATTATTATTAAAAGGTCTCTATATCACCGTGTCTGAGGGCAGGCTGGGGGAGGGATCTCTTTGAGGTATATATTATATATATTATTATTAAAAGGTCTCTATATCACCGTGTCTGAGGGCAGGCCGGGGGAGGGATCTCTTTGAGGTATATATATATATATTATTATTAAAAGGTCTCTATATCACCGTGTCTGAGGGCAGGCCGGGGGAGGGATCTCTTTGAGGTATATATTATATATATTATTATTAAAAGGTCTCTATATCACCGTGTCTGAGGGCAGGCTGGGGGGGGGGGGATCTCTTTGAGGTATATATTATATATATTATTATTAAAAGGTCTCTATATCACCGTGTCTGAGGGCAGGCTGGGGGGGATCTCTTTGAGGCGCGACTGGCTGCAGGACACGTTCAGCCCGTGCAGGTGGGGGTCTCTCTGGCAGAGGCAGCCCTTGGGACACATGGAGGCGGAGGGGAAGCAGAGCGCCATGAGGACCAGGCTCTGCAGCAGCAGGACCATGGGGAGCGAGCGGGACAACCACAGGTCCAGCAGAGTCATGGTGAGGGTCCGTCTGCAGCATCCCGGGGCCTCCAGGGGCCACAACTCCACCTCCTCAGACACATCCAAACATGGTGGAGAGAGAGAGGGGGGGTCTCACTTCCTGTTCACTGGAGAGGAGAGGGGAGCATGTTGTGGAGAGGCCTGAAACCAGAACAAAGAGAAAGTTAGAGACCCTCTAGAAAGTTTAGAGGTTCACCTGAGGGTCTACACAGCATCCAGATCAGACTAAGAGACAGTTAGAGTTTAGTTTTTTTAAATTGGGGTTTTCTATTTTGTTGTGTTTTGAAATGTTTTTACATCGTGTAGAGGTTTTTTCAGTCGTGGCTATAACTATTGTCTCGTGTTTTTACATTTGTGTTTTTGTCCAAATGTATTTATTCTGCTTTTTATATATGTATTAATGAACAGCACTTTGGTCAACACTGTTGTTTTTAAATGTGACATATAAATATAGTTGGATTTGATAGAGACCCTTTTAGACTTCGGAGGTTCACCTGAGGGTCTACACAGCGTCCAGAACAGACAGAAAACACCTGATTCCACTGCGCCTGGACCGAGATAAATCAGAATCAAGTTTATTGCCAGGTACGTTTTCACATACAAGGAATTTGATTTGGTGTCCGGTGGTGCGAACATCAACAATCTAAAAAAATAAGTTGCAAAGTAGGTTAAAAAATAAACATAAGGATAATACAAAATAAGTATTTTATCGAAACAATTTAGCATACAAAAGGATGCTAAAAGGCGCTCTCACACCGGAGTACTTTTCCCAGTATAGTTCCGAAATGTTGCGTTCACACCAAAAAGAGCCCAAAAAGAGAACCTTTTCACCCCCTTTTCCGTCCCTGCTAGAGAGCAGGCGCTTTCATGGGAGAAAAAGGTTCCTATGTCTGATTGGCTGGAAGGATTGCAAACCACGCCCCGTAAAACTCCCACAATGTTCTGTGAAGCCGCCATTTTATTATCCTCTTATTAGCATTAGCATTAGCCCAGCGCAGAAACGCAGAGAGACTAACTTATGGCAACACAAAATAAAGCATGGGAGCGGTGGAGATGAGGAGGTGTCGGCGTTCTGGCGATTTACTCGGAAGGCTTCAGTGGAAGCTGCTGGGAGTCCCAGCAGCTTCCACTGAAGCCTTCCCCAACTCCGGGGACTTCCGCCCGGGGACTTTGGGCGGCAGTATACGCCGTGAAGTGGTTTGCGGCCTGCCAGTAAACCCAAAGCAGAAGAAGAAGAAGTGACGTCAGCGGCTTCATTTGCCTAATCCTCCCTCAGGGACTTATTCCGGTGTGAACGCGATCTGTACTTAGTTCATGAGAACTAAAGAGTTCTGATGAACTAAGTACGGCAAAGTACTTGGTGTGAAAGCGCCTATAGACAAGTATTTACACCAGAATTACATTTAACTATACAAATAACCTTAACAGCTAAACAACAAAACACTTAACAGTTCAGTCTTAATATGTTTATTAGAAGCAGCATAGTTTGAGTTTGGCGTCTAGGCTCGGGCCTCATCACTCCACAGAGTATACGGCAAACTCCAGTGTATATTTGAAAGTGGAGGGCTGTACAGACATGTGTGCAAAAAGCAGCCAGAGTTGAGCATGAACACGGCTCACAGTATTAAGAAAAACACAAAAGAACAAGATGTTGTTCACATGATGAGTGTAAAGGAATATTTTAGTCTTGTTAAAGTATATAGAGTTTAGTGACTTGTCCTCGGGAATCTGTTTAATGGTTAAAGTGTATTCCTGCCTGTAATGTGATCCATAGCTTCTCAGGAAGACACAGGTCAAGAGGTCATCTGATGTCTTGTGGGGGGAGAAGTTTGGCTCATGTGGGTTTGCAATGCAACGAGTCTCGACATCTGGCATGCATTAAAGGAAAACCCGCGTGTTTTAGAGCCCTCCTCTTCTTACATATAGATGGGTTCTTGGCGCTTTTGTCTTCAGAGTTGGCTGGTATCTTACATGAGAACTGTGGTATACTGTGATCTCTCCGGCCGTACGAATTCTCAATAAATATCAGTGTATTGACAGGCGAATCCAGTTTCCCTCATTTCATGATTGGCTCAACATTGCTGCAAAGAAGTTTTTACTTCACAATGAGCATTAATGGAATGCATCATGTTTTTGAATTGGATACATAATAGAATAGAATACTATTGCACTCAGAATTGTTTAGCTAATTGAAGCTTCCTGCAGGATTGTTGCTTTGTGAGTGTGTGTCTTCGTGGTTCATTGCACTTATTGAAAGCTGCCTTGGATAAAAGCATCAGCTAAATGTAGTGGTGTCTTATATGTATTGTACCTTTGCTCTACTTGGAGAAGCCGAGGACAATAAGTCAATCGTATTAAATCTAAATCTAGTGATTTACTTTGGTCATCACCACCTTCATGGGCTCTGTGAATACGTGTGTTTGTTGACACTTTGACAGGAGACCATATTTCAAAGTTAGGATATCCTGTTTGGTTTTCTGGCCTGGATCCTGCTCCTTTAACCAAATGCACCCCAATATGTATATGGACTTAATTATATAATATACTCGCTGTATTTACATTCAAATTGTCCAGTGAAGCGACTGCAATGATAAAAAGCAGGTTTATAATCTGCAAGGGTTTCCTTTAACAATCCACACAGAGGCATCAGACCATACGTGTCAAACTCGAGGCCCGGGGGCCAAATCCGGCCCTTGGTGGATTTAATTTCGGCCCGCAGGATAATGTCTAATTGCTATTAGATCTGGCCCGCCGGTATATTGCACGCACACCTTCACTCCATCCTGAGAGTCTCCTCAGCTCAGAGCCTGAGCCCAAACATTGATGACCTTGCACCCAAGATGAGACGCCAAGTATCTGAGCTAGCATCACAGAGCAGCACACTGAGTTCAATGGATGCTTCCTTCTGCATTTTCTCTCAGGACAACAGGGCATGTTTGGTTTTCTCTCTGAGGGGAATAGTTTTTAGAAGCTGTTGTTGGCCTGTGGAAAAATGTACTCATAAGAAAAGACTCTGGAAAAGCTGCAGATAGAGCCATAAGAAATTAATGCAACTGATTATTTAATGTTTAATGTTGTTTTTATAGGCAATCATTGAAGCTTTGTTAGTTCCAGGTTTAATATGTGCAATAAGTTCATTTCAATAAGTTCTGCGATAAACATTGAACCAGTCCGGCCCTCCACTAGTACCCATTTGTTTATTTGGCCCACTGTGTATTTGAGTTTGACCCCCCTGAGTTAGACCTTTACACGTCACAGTTCACGACTAAATTACAGCACTGTCGAGTTTACATATTCTTATCAAAACAGAAACTGATAATAATGTGATTTATGATTAACATCATGCAGCTCTCTCTGATCTCTCACACTGATCTCTCACACAGCTCTTTGTGAGTCACCGTCTCACATCACATGAACACACACTCCTCCTTCACACACACTGATCTCATACACCCCTCCTTCACACACACTGATCTCACACACATGCTCCGAGTTGTATATAACACACAGAACAGAACCTTTTGTTTCCTTTTCTGAGAGACCTTGAGGATCGATGGTTATAAAACATCTTCCACTGCAGGACAAACGACGATGTGATGGATCAACGTCTCCTCCTGCAGGAACATGGCCTACACATATATATTATGATATATATGATTAGATAACATTTTGTGGCATAATCTCCCATTTTATTAGTTTCTTTCCTACAAAGTTCTGGCTGTCAAATAATTCCCTTTCATTCTTAACTCTATGTAAATGTTATTGTACACTTCCATGTCTTTTGATGCTGCTGCAACACAACAAGTACTTCTTATCTGATCTTAATGTATTGCATCTCAATGTTTTAATTCCTCAAACAGCTCAGTCTGAATCTTTAGAGATGCACGATACATGTTCTCTAATACAATCTGCAAAAGCATCTAACGCTGAGAAATTAATGTGTAAAGATACTTGAGTTGATTCTAAATGTAGTGGAGTAGAAGTATACGCAGCATTAAACGGAAATACTCGAGTAAAGCACGTATTCCTAAATTGTACCTGAGTAAATGTACTTAGTTACTGTGTGTGTTTATGCAGCTGCTGTTCGCCTGCTTCTTTGTGCAGGAAATATAAAACCTCTTATGTTAGACATGATATTCTGAGCATCCTCATTATCACTGTTGACTTCATCCAACTGGTGGAACAGAGGTTCATTCATCGAGGAGGAAACCAAGCTGGAGCAGAAACATCTAACAACGAGTCAAACAATGTGATGGAGGTAAACAGGATGGAGCCTTTGAGGCTTCCTGTGGGGTTCCTCTCCTGCAGAGTGCTGTTCAAGGTTTTACTGCATGTCAATGGTCTGCAGAGGCTAACATCCATGTGCTTCCTCCAGAGGCAGTTTCTCAAACACACACGCCCCAAATCCAGATATTCATCATCCTCTTCATCCCTTCTCCGCGTCAAATCCAGATCTTCATCATCCTCTTCATCCCTTCTCCTCATCAAATCCAGATATTCATCATCCTCTTCATCCCTTCTCCGCGTCAAATCCAGATCTTCATCATCCTCTTCATCCCTTCTCCTCATCAAATCCAGATCTTCATCATCCTCTTCATCCCTTCTCCTCATCAAATCCAGATATTCATCATCCTCTTCATCCCTTCTCCGCGTCAAATCCAGATCTTCATCATCCTCTTCATCCCTTCTCCTCATCAAATCCAGATATTCATCATCCTCTTCATCCCTTCTCCGCGTCAAATCCAGATCTTCATCATCCTCTTCATCCCTTCTCCTCATCAAATCCAGATATTCATCATCCTCTTCATCCCTTCTCCGCGTCAAATCCAGATCTTCATCATCCTCTTCATCCCTTCTCCGCGTCAAATCCAGATCTTCATCATCCCCACCAGTATCTAGACTTGTGTCTTTTCTATAGAGAGGCGAAGTCCCTCTCTTTCCTCCATGGGACCTCATTTCTGAAAAAGTATGTATTGAAGTCAATGGCGAGAGAAAGATTATCTTTTGATCCCGTTTGAATTGTGCCACGAATTACACACATGATGTTTGTCAATTTAAAAGATCATTTTGCAAAGTCAAAAAAATTAAAATGTGTCGTAAAACACATGTAGCGTTTTGAGAACTGCACATACACACAAGGGGAGTCAGTCGGTTCCTAAGAGCCAGCATGCGGGACCGGGACTCTGGGATTTGTAGTCTTTCTAGTTGCGTATTTTTCATAGTCTTTTATTTCAACAGTTTTACGACAAACTGTGACTTTTTTTACATGGAAACTATTTTTTAAGATTGACAAACATCATATGTGTAATTCATGGCACAATTCAAACGGGATCGAAAGATACGTTTTCTCTCTGCATTGACTTCAATACATACTTTTTCAGAAATAAGGTCGGAAGTAGATGGATCGCCTCTCTATATACTCAAGGCTACACTTCCACCCTTAAAGTATACGGTATCAGGATCGGGGTCTAATTGCCAAAGACTCAAATGAAGTCTCTCCTGATTGAAATATATGTAGTTGCCAGTATCTTTTCTAAAGTTTCTCAAT